ATAATTGGTTCACATTTATCTCAAGTGTAAGTTTCTTAACTTCGTAAGAAATTATAGGACGTATTCAAAAGACTTGAAGTTACTTTTGTATTATGACAAATTTGTCATTAAAGTAAGAGAACATTTATCATACGTTAGTTTCTTACATTCTTTTAATGGATGAAAACGTAAATGATTTTCCTATATAAGGAGTATCATTTGGGAGCTAACTACAGAGAAGAAAAACCAAAGTCATTTCTTTCATTTACTATCTCCTTCACTAATTCTTTTATTGGTTTAAATAATCATTCCTCCTATTGTGAATTTCTGGGAATTGTTTTTGTGCAACTCCAAACTTCCGGCCACGAGTGCATGTGTTTGAGAGTAACTGTGAAACCTTGGGGAGCGACCGGCTACAACGATTTGGACGGAGTCGGGCCGAAATCACTTTCAAGGCAGCGGCTTGCCACTACACAATGTTTGTGATAAGCTATTTACTACTTTATAATTCTAATCCAATATCAATATTTTAGTATTTTTCTCAACTATTTGAAAGCGATTTTACTTGCATACAATATTGATACATGGCTATTTCTTTGAACAAAACTTTTCCTGATTTTTCAAAGCTTGAGCCTTTGGATGGAAACAATTTTAAACGCTGGTCACAAAAACTTTTAGTTTTCATTGAACAATTAGAAGTTGAGTATGCTTTATTTAACGAATCTTCTATAGATGGTTCTTTTACCACTACTGATTCTAGAAATGTTGTGGTTGTTGATGATATTGTTAAAACGAATTTTGAAAAGGATAATAGGCCTTAAACTTGTTTTACTTAAATTAACTTCTGAAAAAACATTGTCCTTGAATAATGTTTTGTACGTTCCCTCCATCCGTAGAAACTTAGTTTCCGGAGCACTTCTCAACAAAGTAGGCCTTAAACTTGTTCTTGAAGCTGATAAAATAATTATTTCTCGTGGAGGAGACTTTGTTGGGAAGGGATATCTTGGTGGAGGATTATTTGTATTAAACATTGTTCAAGAGATTGTCAATAATGCAAGTATTTCAAATTCTGCTTATATTGTTGAGTCTATTAATTTGTGGCAAGGTAGACTAGGTCATGTTAACATTTCTTCTATTAAAAGACTTAGAAAAACTGATGATTTTTCTAAATGTCTTGTGTGTGTAGAAGCAAAGCATGCCAAGAAACCTTTCAAATCTGTTATTAGTAGAAAGATCGAATTACTTGAACCAATACATTCAAATTTAGCAGATTTCAAGAACACTGTTAGCAAAGATGGGAAAAATTATTACACTACTTTTGTTGTTGACTTTTCTAGATACACTAAGCTATATCTTCTTAAGTCTAAAGATGAAGCTGAAAGCATGTTCTTGAAATTCAAAGCAGATGTGGAAAATCAATTAGATAGAGAAATCAAGAGATTTAGATCTGATAGGGGCGGTGAATATAGTACTAAAATTCTAGAAGATTTTTTTGAGAAAAAATGGTATTATGCATGAGGTTAGTGCTCTCTATACTCCCCAACAAAATGGTGTAGCCGAACGAAAAAATAAACCCTTAAGGAAATAATGAATTCAATGCTTTTAAGCTCTGGTCTATCTGATAATATGTAGGGAGAAGCAGTCTTGTTTGCATGCTATAATCTTAATAGTGTCCATCATTAGATGTTAGAGAAGACCTCATATGATTTGTGGAAAGGGTTTGCTCCTAACTTGAAATTTTTGAAAGTGTGGGGGTGTTTGGCTAAGGTTGGTCTACTTGATTTTAAATGAGTAAATATTGGTTCTAAGACTTTTGATACTGTGTTTATTGGTTATGCTCAAAATAGTGTTGCATATAGATTTATGTCTCTAAAGGATCATTCTATTTGTGAATCTAGAGATGCAAAATTTTTTGAGCATACTTTTCCTTTGAAAAATAATGTGCCAAGTGATGTGCAAAATAATGCTTCTACATCTATTTCTACTAATTCTCGTATTGTACCTTCTTCTAATGTTATTTCTAATGAGCATGAAGATGAACTTAGAAGGAGTAAAAGACGTAGAATTGAGACTAATTTTGTTCCTCATTTTATCACTACTTTCTTAATTGGAAATTTTGATATTAATATTTTAAATGATGAATTAGTATCTTATCTATTTAATAGAAGAAGACCCTAAGACTTATGATGAAGCAATGAGATCAATAGATGTTATATTTTAGAAAGAGGCTATTAAAAGCTAATTAGATTCTATACTTTCTAATCTCACTTGGGACTTGTATGATTTACCTAAATGTTGTAAGCCCATAAGTAGCAAGTGTATATTTAAGAAGAAATTGAGACCTGATGGTACAATTGATATATATAGGGCTAGACTTGTGTTAGGGGTTTTAACCGAAAGAAAGGTGTTGATTACTTTGATATTTATTCTCCTGTGATTAAAATAGTGACCATTAGGACTCTTATTGCTTTAGCTGCTATTCATGACTTAGTGGTACATAAAATGGATGTCAAAACAACATTTCTAAATGGTGATTTAGAGGAAGAGATCTATATGACTCAACCTGAGGATTTTGTGGTTCCAGGACAAGAGGATAAAGTATGCAAATTGAGAAAATCCTTGTATGGACTAAAACAAGCACCTAAGCAGTGGTATGAAAATTTTAATATTACATTAGTGGATAATGACTTTGTTGTAAATTCATTTGATACATGTGTTTTTTCTAAGATGATAAGTTCAGATTGTGTGATTATATGTTTATATGTAGATGACATGTTAATCGTTGGTCCTAATGTGAATATTATTAATGATACTAACAATATTTTTTTTCTAAATTTGAAATGAAAGACCTTGGTGAAGAAGATGTGATTTTGGGAGTTAAAATCAAAAGAACCGCTAATGGTTTCTCTTTGTGGCAGTCAAATTACATTGAAAAGATGTTGAAAAACATTGATTGCTTTGATGTAGTTCCAGTGAGAACTCCTTATGATCCTAACATACACTTGAGAAAGAATACAGAATCTAGTGTTTCTCAAACTAAATATGCTAAAATAATTGAGAGTGTAATGTTTCTCATGAACTATACTCGCCCTGATATAGCTTATGTTGTTACTAGATTGAGTAGATATACTCATAATCCTAGTAGTGAATGCTAGAAGGCTCTTCATCGCTTGCTAAGGTATTTAAAAGGTAAAATTGATTGGTGTTTTCATTTTAATAAGTTTCCTATTGTTTTAGAAGATTTTTGTGATGCAAACGGGGTAATTGACAATGATGAAGTTAGCTCCACCAGTGGCTATGTGTTTACTTTGGGTGCAGGTGCTATATTTCGTGGAAGTATTCCAAACAAACTTGTATAGCACATTCTACCATGGAATCTGAATTCATTGCTCTCGAGTTGGCAGGGCAAGAAGCTAAGTGGTTGAGAAATCTTTTGGCGGATATTCTAGTATGGGGAAGACAAGCTTCATCCGTCTCTCTTCATTGTGACTCACAGACTGCAATTGGAATAGCCAAAAATAGTGTGTACAATGGAAAAAAGAGACATTCGCATCAGACATGGTGCAGTTAAAAAGTTGTTAGAACTGCGTGTTATTTCTTGGGATATGTAAAGTTCTAAAAGAAATTTGGCAGATCCCATGATCAAGGGCTTGGCAAGGAAAATAATTCTTGAAACATCAAGATGGGGCTAAAGCCCTTTCATTGAGGCAGTGTGGTGGATCCTTTAGGCCTTAATATACGCCACATTTTTATATCCCTATGGCGTTAGGCAGTGTTTTATAAGGATGAACTTATTTTCTCTTAATGATTCTATAGCCTTAAGGTGATCTATTTGAGATAGACTTGATGGAATCACCAACGTGCGTGTAAAGGTGTGGTCTCCTTTTATGAAAGACTTGGAGCATCTTTCTAGAGCACTCATAAGACCCAAGGTGTGAGTGCATGACCATAAAAGTACTTTGTTGGATCACGGAATTTACATAAAATCAAGGATATGGTATGTGTTTTGGGGGTCTCAACTTATGTCCATTTAGTCCATGAGTACTTTACTTTGTGGATATGTGTTGTTGCCTCATTTCACTAAGTGATAATTAAAATCGAAAGATATTGACACTTAAGCAAATGTTCCATTCTTTTGCCCAGAAATTATTGTTATTCTTTATCTTTGCTTTAGTGGGGGATTGTGGATAATATTGCTTCTTCTTTTTTTAATGCAAAGGATTGGTTACATCTTTTAACTCTTCGTAATTAATCTATCTGAACATTGTCAAGTCGTTAGTATATGTGAAATTGGAGAGTTACTTCCACAATAATGGTTCACATTTATCTCAAAGTGTTAGTTTCTTAACTTTGTAAGAAAATATAGTAAGTATTAAGAAGACTTGAAGTTACTTTTGTATTATGACAAATTTGTCATTAAAGCATCGGAGTCGGGCTGAAATCACTTTCAAGGCAATGGCTTGCCATGACACACTGTTTGTGATAAGCTATTTACTACTTTATAATTCTAATCCAATATCAATATTGTAGTATTTTTCCCAACATTCCATCATTCAAAGCTGAAGAAGATTCGTTGTGACTTCCATCTGTTCTAACCTTATCACATTTCTGCACAAATTCACAACATACAGAGGCATTCAATTTTTCGTAGAGTCCTCATGACAGTCTTGTTATGCTTCCATGAGTTTTGGACTGTCTTCTCTTGGTTACACGCTTAACTGCATTGTCTGACGCAATGTTTTGGTCCTTCCACCACTCCATGTATCTCATGTTGACGTCTGGCTTGGAGAGCCCTCTAAGCATGATTCACACAACGGGGCACATGTTGATCGAATCAGATTATTAGTTGCATTTTCTTATCTCTTAGGTACTTTTCATGCCACTTCAATTCCTAAACACGCCCCCCCCCCCCCCCACACACACACACACACTCAAACACGATATTTTTAAGCTAAGATCATTTTGAAGCAAAGACAACATTGGTGCAACCAGCAGAGGAAACACAGAAGGGGGGATATTACCTATATATCTTGATCAGTTATAGCCATGCCAGTTCGGAAGCAAGGAGGTCTCACCAACTGCTGATGAAAAGAGATCTTACTAAACGTCTGCTATCGTGAGTACCTGAAACTGCATTATAAAATGTGCAACGCCAAATGTCATTAGTACATTGAATGTACGGTATGTAATAAGACCAAATGAAATAAATAAATAGCTGAACTCAATAAATGAACTGAAAAGAAACTGAAAGCACCCTTGTTATACCCCATTTTAACTTGCGTCAAATAGTGTACAACAAATTGGTGATTCCTAAATTAAATTAACTTAAGGAGTCGCCACCTAATTATTTTTACGGTAAATTAGGACACCTAAATATTTAACTATTGTAATGCTAACATTAACTTCAATTAATCGTCTACTTAATTTATGTGATACTGGGTAAGGTTTCTAGTTATCCTAAAGGGAAGAGATTAAGTATCCTTTAAGATCCATTAAAAATGATTACCGATCAAACTTGCGTTAAATTTAAAAAGGTTTTGAAATAACTATAGAATTTAAAATATCTATTATAACTAGGTGCTAATTGGTTTTAGAAAGATAAAAGTAATATCGTGACTAGCTAACTTAAGTTATAAAATTAATCAAAAATATTAATTTCACGCGGGAACAATAAATGACTTTCCTAACTTAAAAGAGGGTCAAATTAAAAGAAAATTCATTCATGAGTTTGAAACAATTTTTTAAAAAAAATCAAAAGAAATGCATTGATTTTTCATATTTGAAAGGAAAGAGTGATTTACATAGGCAGCAGCTGCGCAGCTATCATGGCTGCTATGGCCACTGAATGGCCTCCTTTCGAGGTTGTCCTGCCCGCCCCCACCACCCCAAACCACCACATACGCCACTCTTTTCAATTCCAATACTCTAAATCCTAAACAATTTACCCTAATTAACTCAAAAACAATCGTAAAATCAATTGAAATAATTCATGGAGAACCTACTATCACGTTTTCAATGGAGGAAATGCAAGACTTTATGATCGAAGAGGGATTGCATCAAGTAGTGGTGTTTAAATTATCCCATGGTGCGCCAAATTTGAATGTATTAAGGTCAATTTTACCGAAACATCTTGGTAGCAAGGGAAATTGTTTAATTGGCTTACTTGCTCCAAGACAATTTTTGTTGAGGTTTGATCAATATGAAGATTATGTACTAGCTTTATCTCGCTCAGTTAATTATCTTCTCTACAATGGAGAGGAGCACAAATGTACGGTTTTTCCATGATCCATTGGATCTAATCCTAAGGAGGAAATAATGTTAGCTATGGTTTGGATTTCTTTACCGAACTTATCTCCAGATTTGTTTACAAAGAAGTCTTTGTTGTCTTCAACATCGGCAGTTGGGAAACCAATAACTATAGATAAAGCTACTCAAATCAAGTCAAGACCTAGCACGGCTAGGATCAAGGTTATACTTTATCTAATGGAAAAGCTTCCATATCATATAAGGTTGCAGTTTATGGATGGAAAATCTGGTAAGTTGATCGAGGTTTTTTAAGAGATTGTATATGATAATCTACCTTTGTATTGCAATTATTGTAAGCACCAAGGTCATGATGAAGATAGTTGTCGTCTAATCTCGAAAAGAAATCAAAATAACAAACAAATTGATGATACCATTGAAGTTGCTTTAAAAGGTACTATTGATAGTGAAAAGTATTAAGGTGATGCGAGAGAAATACTAAATGAAAAAAGAAAGATTATAGATGTCGATCAAAGTAAAACTACTTCTTTAGATCGACAATTGGTTGCTGCCACTTCGAAGCAAAAATGTGCAGACTCAATGGATGTTGATACAAGTCATATTGGTGTTCAAACAACTACCGAAAACAAAGGGATAACACCAAGAGTTGGGATTGATGCGCCGCAAATTATTTCAGGGAAAAAATTAATGGATTCAAGACAAAAACTAATGGATACATCTGATGTTGAAGATGCTAAAAATTCTAGGCATCATTTTTTGCAAGTTGAAAATGAGAATGCAACTAAAAATTGGACACTGGTTACACACAATAAATCAACTAGTAGTCAGACCCTTTCCCCGACTAGTCAAAATAATTCTCCATGTAGTAAAAAGGGTCCGACTGAGAATTTTCATGACAGTGAGAAGAGGCAACATATTAGTAATGCCTCAAGAAACCTATTGTGTTCGAATAGCTTTGATGCTTAATTGAAAACTATTGGAAAGCAAGTAAGGTTAACAGAGAATGACAACGATTTGATCCAAGAAAAAAAGGTCCCGCCACCTGCTTTGAATAGAAAATTAAGTCCAGAAGCTCTCGTATTTGTGCCTAAATGTGTGCTTGAAAAAGAAGAATGAGTCAAGGACCTTAGTGTCAAATACAATTGATTTGGACGAGGATTTTCTTGATGAGGATGAGGAAGACAATATGTTGGACATATGCTTTGATATAGTGGCTAGGGAAGGGGATATATCACCAAGACAACAAAGAAGTGGAAGCAACAAAAACAAAAAGAAGACACATGGAAGGCAACATAGTTGGGACGGTAAAATGACTGAGGAGCTTGTTCCAAGACACCTACTGATGCGACAGGCAAAGCATAACCATTTGACAGTTTCAATAGGTTCAACTAGATCGGACAAATCCATAAATAAGGTATGAATTATCAAGTGTTGTTGGATGGGTTTGAAGAAGAGGACAAGTTAAAAATACTTCAAGTTACTTTTGATGGGCAATCAATCTTTTTTAATTCATGCTTTTGTAATAGAAAGTTTGAGGTTGATAACTCAACTTTCTTCTTGATTGGCATATTTTTACATTATTTAAGCATCCTTATTTGTAATATCATCATAGAGTGTATTACAAACTCTGTGGTGAACAGAAAATACTTAGTTCTCTTTAGCTCTTATTTTCTTCATGCTTGTTAGGAAGCAGAAGTTAGGTACTTCATTAGGATTAGTAAGGTAAGACCTAGCCCCATTGCTTGTGCTTGTCCCTATTGATATTTTTTATTTTTAATAAAAGGCCGCTAGACACTGCCTAGTGGTAAATTTGCTTTAAAAAAAGTCTTAAAAGAAACATGTTCCCATATTTCGTGAAAATAAAAAATATTTGGAAAGGTTTCTTTCTAGAAAAATCTTTCTAAAAAATTAAACATATTTGGACATACAACATAATCTCAAAATTGTTATCATTATCATTTAAGGTTTCATAATCTCAAAATTGTGACTTGACACGGAGCTTAAGAAAAGAAAGACGAATTTTGAATCTTGTGGTATAAAAATAAAGATATGTTAAATATATCAAATGTCCATTAATTTTATGGTCTTAAACATATCATATGGAAAGTGGAAACTAAACAATACCTTAAAGATTAATCCAGAGAGACACAACCTAATCTCTTAAACAAACAAAACAGAGTTTTTAGGAATGTTAAACAAAAAAATACATAAAGAGACAAAACTAAACGTAAGTTTAGCAAATTAAAACGGAAGCTCTTCCATCTAGAATTTCTAGCTTATTTTATCCTTTTAGGTGCTGATTCTGAAGCAGAACAAGAGTAAAACAGATTCTAACTAGTCTCAAAAATAGAAATTTGATAAGAAACAAAGTTAGTTCATCACATATGCGACGAGTTGACGAACCAATAATTTTGCTTTTACGATTTCTACTTTAGATTAGTCATTTAGCATACTAAAAACAAATTCTAACAAATACTTGAAACAAAAATTAAACAAGTAGCACTACATTCAAAAGACTATTTTTGCTCTATGAATTAAATAAGGTGACAGAGGAGAAATACAGACCTTCTCTAGGGCAGCAAACTAGTGCTTTGAATCTTATACTCCGCTATCGACTCCCTCTAGACAGATTTTCCAAAGGGTGTAGTTTTGAGAAAGTTTAAGAGCCCTATTTATAGCGAAAAAACCACGGCTCAGTTAGTTTGAAATATGGGCTGCCCGAATTTAAAATAACAATAAAACAAGGAATCACTTCTTTGAATAGATTGAGAGACAACGAAGATGAGATGAACAGGAAGAAGCAATAAATATAAAAACCTAACATTTGAATCTGAATCGCAGATTTTGAATTATATTTTGTGTTTTCAAGAGATTTGGAAGTGTGAACGTTTGAATTCAGTCATTTTAGAGAAGCTAGGGGACTATTGATGTTCACAGATGATTGATAGGGGTGGCAGAGATTTGAGCATAAAATCTTGCGGATTCTCAGGTTGAGGGAGATGAGTGGCAAGATAGGCTTAGGTTTTCATCAGCTCTTTGGAGTGTAAATATGATGGAAGTAAGAGTAGAGTTGTCAAAAAGGGCCGGCCCAGTCCCACCCGACCCAAGTCTCATGGGCCAAGGAATTTGATGGGCTAAGGCGGGCAAACCCTTCATTTGGAAGGGCCTAAAAATGCTCAACCCAACCCAACCCTAGAAGGGCCAAGGGCTAGGGCGGGCTAGCCCTTTTTTTTTTTCTTTCTTTTCATATTTTTTCATTTCAAACTTTAAATTCTATAACATCAAGAAATGAGAAGATTTTCAAAGTAAATATGACAAATAATGGTGTTGTTTCAATAACACTAGCAAAACATCTAGTGTGATTAGCATGTATCTAGGATACTAGATACGCGAGATACATGTATTTGGTGTCATGTATCTCATATACGCTAGCGAGATAAGAGAGTGACGAGTGAGATGGAAGGGAGGCGAGGACGTGAATTTATCTATGTATTCTAGATACATGTGAATCCACTATGATAGAGTGTATCTAGAACAAATTAACATAATGTTGAGTTTATGTATCTCGAGATACATGTGTCTAGATGTACCAAAATCTGAGAAGATTCGTAATATAACAACATAGCTTGAATTTAAGTAATTATCTTATATACTAGTAAGATTATTGTAAGTTACCCTTAAATAAATAGTTTTGGCCCATAAGCTGACTCCGGCCCGACCGAGATCAAGCCTCAAGGGTCAAGGGCTTATATGGGTCGGGCTTATAAGCCCTAGTTTTAAATGGGATTGAAAAATCCTATCTCAATCCTACCCCAATAATGGGTAAGGTTGGGTCGGTCTCACGGGCTAAGCCCATTTTGACGGCTCTAAGTGGGAAGCAAGAGAATTGTTCAAGGTATTTTTGGTAGATCAAGTTGAGTTTGGGCGCAAAGGAATTATTTTTTTGGGAAAATTTTCAAAATGTCAATACTTTTGCATTTAATAAAACCTCTTGTCAACATTTTCAATATTTATATTTAAAATGTCAATATTTCAGTCAGTTATTCTTCTGATTTATTTATTTTTTATTTGTTTGATTTGAAAGAATACAATTATTTAATAACAGAAAGAAGAAATCACGGAAAGAATATTTGAACATATCACTTACAGTTTCAAAGGTAAACGACTAGGGCACCAATCCCCCTTCTTCATCAAATTTCGAATATAGATTTTTAGCATTCCATTGATTCAAAAATGGCTATGGAATGTTTTGATAATTGTAAATTGTACCTACTATGAACTAAGTGGGAGCATTAGTTTTGCTGGGTAGTTTTAATTTTAATTTGTTTGAATGAAAAATAAGAATGAATATGGAATGTTTGCAAAAATATATTTTTTTGTAATATTTAATGCAATCGAAGAATCCTTTTGATAAATATTATATCCGCTATCGTTTTGATAAATATTGTATCCACAATCTGAAAAAGAATCATTTTGATAAGGTGTTTGGCTGGTTGTCTTTGTTTTTTTGATATCCATTATCGGAAAAACTATGATAATTATAGTGTATACTAGAAGTGGTTGTTTGAAATACAAAGTTATGATAATTGTAGTGTATTTGTAAACATATTTGATAAAGATACAAATACATAGGCATTTATGTAATACAATTTTGATCACTAAGATATAATTATTTACACAATGATACAAATATGAAAGTAAATACATGCATTTATTAATATTGAATACAAATATTGTTAAACGAACATGAGTCTCTATTTATGTTAAACAATTTTGATAACTGGGGTACAATTATTTACAGAGGGATACAAGTATGAAACTAAATACATACATTTATCAATATTGAAAACAAATATTGTTAAACTTGTTCATCAACTTCTACCGCACCCACAACTCTTTTTTTAACTACTCTCTTAAACCATTTTAGACACACAGTCTACATTTTTGAATAATCCTTGGGTAATGCATAAATCAATAGATGGAAAATCCCAAAAAAGTAGATAATTATTTGGGATACCTCTTGTAATCCTCTTTGAACCAGACATTATAGTGAAAATCATATTCTTTTCCCTTACCTAAAATCCTAAATAAAAATCTCAAAATTACTAAACACACAACAATGTATATAAAATCAAACAATCTATATATGCTATATGAATGTTTATGAACTACTATATTTCCTATACAAAAAACAAATTACAGAAAAAAATCAAACTATAAAGTCGAAATCGTGAAAAATCATAAATACCCAATATATCGAAAATCTGGAAAAGCACTTCACGATAATGTATTTACCTTTATAGAAGGTTGAAAATATTTTGAATGATTTTCTGAGAAATTCAGAAAAATGAAGAAATTTATATTTTTATAAGGTAATGTTTAAGTTACTTGAGGAGACAGAATAATGGAACAAATCGTATGAGAAAGAAAGAGAAATGATAGAATTTGGATAAAAAATTAAGAGAGAGAAAAGTGAGTACTGGGTTTTTTTTCTTTCCTTTCACTGGTATTCATGGAGTAAAAGAATGGGTCCAATTTGAGAAATAAAAGGAAGGTAAATAATTATATTAGGATAAACTTTATTTGCTAAAATATTGGCATACTGACATTTTTAATAATTATTTTAAAGTGTAGATGTTTTTAATAGTTATGTTAGGGATTTTGACGAGTTAGCTAATTTTTCATATTCTTTTTTAAGATTGGGCTGCAATATTTTGCTGAAGAAAGAATATAAATGGCCCAAAATGTGTTGGAGAATTAACTTGTGAGAAAAATACATTTTTTTTCAAGTTAACTAATTTTATAATGTTTCTTTCATCCTAGTTAATCTTCTAAAAAATATATATGTATATAAGATATATAAATAATTTATATACGTATTCAAATTAAACTTCAATGGGACAAAATTTCCAATGAAAAATATAGTTTAAAAAAAAAGATTAAATTATTAAAAAGTAAAGAGTGAAAATGCCAAATGTATATACATATACATATACTCAAGCATATTTAACTAAACTATTCAAAAATAAGGCAAAGATAATAACTTTTCCGGGATTTGTTGAAGTCAGCATTAAAATAGGGAAATCAATTTTAGTAAATTACTAAACATGAAGAAAAATGATTCTAGGAAAACGGAGAGCCAAAATTGTGTGTTAACAACCATGAAATATTAGCAAAACACTAAAATAATATAGTTTACTTTTCTTTGAGAGTTTATCTAACCAACAACCATCACTATCAGTCTCGTGATGATACAACATCTAACCCATGTTGACATAGCCATCCTATACCTTGCTAGAGCATAGGACAACAAAACTGAACGTATGGATCCATCTAAAAAGCCCTCAACGCGGCTGGGTGAGAAGTCGCATGAACCAATGGCACAATCCTATCTACAATAGCGGCACAATCCTATCTACAATAGCGGCACAATCTAAAGGGTTGAGTTGTCTTAACTCTTACCCAAATTAGTGCTCAATACTGAAGAACTAAACACAACGGAATGCTTAGTAATCAAAGGACAAATAACAAGGAAGAAGGAATAGGAGAAACCGTGAAACTGTTTTTGCTAAGAAAGAGTTGTTGAATGTTTTATTTAATACTTTCAATGGCCTAATATAGGCTTACAAAATTTGTGGAATCATAATCCCACTAAACTACTTTCCCTGAACTCTAAGTAAACAAATTTGCACCAACTACAACTAGGAAAATATCAAGAACTAATTAAATAAAAAAGTGACAACTAACAACTACAAAATAGCTACTGCAAGACTTAGTAAAACTAAAGAAAATGTGTTGATGTTGTACGACTGTAACACATCCTCTCGACAACAAGTCTGCAATTTGTTGCTCTGTTTTAATATGCTCCAAGTCGATCTCTCCTTGTATCACTTTTTCTCGGATGAAGTAGTAATGTATTTCCATATACTAGTCCTTGCATGAAAAATAGAATTCCAGCTTAACTGATTGCTGACTGATTGTCACAGAACAAGGAAACTGCATAGCCACTGGTTGCTTTAAATCCTTCATCAATAGAAGCCATGTACTTTCTTGAGCTGCAACTGCTGCTTGTAACACACCGAAAATTTTTTGAGCTAAGACTCGAACGATTCTTCATAGTGAGTGAGTTTTTACCGAGGAATTTCAATTTTCTTAAGTGTTAAGGTTACTAGATATAGCACCTTGAGTTCCGAAAAGAAATAAAGAGAATTTATTTAAGTCATTCGGAAGTTCTTCTAAATTTTGGGTCAACTTCAAACGACCATACCTTTTAGCACAAGATGATTTAGGAGAGCCATAAGATATACAATTAAAGATCTCTAAGTCCTCTTTCCAACGCAATCGAATTTGCTAAATTTTGAGTTCGAATGAGGGAGATATGTTTGTTTGAGTTTAGCTTGTCCAGTTAAGGAAAGTTACCCGAATTAATGAGGGGTATTTTGGTCTTTTCGTTACCCCACTAGCCTAGCTCGTTTTTGTTAACCTTTTAGGGGTCTAAACTGATTGGAATTAGTTTTTGTCATTCCTAAATTACGCTTAGGGTTTTGAGAGGAGATCAAGAATAGGAAAAGAGGAGAAAAGGAAGAACGATCAAGATTCTTGCAATCTTCGAGGGGTTCACGCCAAGGATTCGATCCGAAGAGGTATGTAAGCTATCATAGTGTTGGGTTTGTTCTCTCACATGCCAATCATGAGTTTCTTTTATGAATTTCATCCATGAGATTGAGTATATTGAGAATCTTGTTGACTTCTTGAGGTTTTGTGTTTCGTTCTTTGAAAATGAAGTTCTAGTTTAGTTCTTGAGGTGAGAGTTTCGAATGAGTATTGTTCTTGGTGGGTTTTGGTGTAGATTTTGTTGTAATTATGTTGGGTTTAAGGATCCCAAAGAGTTTGAGGGAAATCGTTCGATTCTAGATGAGTTAGGGCATGAGTTTGAACAAGAAAATTCATCAGTTTTCTAGGAAGAGGCTTGGGGCGCCGCACTACTCAGTGCGCCGTAACTAGTGTTCTATAGGTTAGGGT